TATCGTGATGTTGTATCTTCAAAGTTCTCACAAGCATATCGTGGACCATCACAATATATGGAATTACAAGTCTCTGCTTAAATTAAGTTTAGTTTTTTGGATTAAGTCTTGTCAAGGCATTTTAAGAGGAAAAGTAGGATATTAACCATTTTGTTAGCCTCCACAAAATATCACATTAAATATCATACCGTGAGATGTATATCATGAAAATATCATACAGAGAGATTTGGATATTGTTACATCCCTAATCATGAGCCTCCCCACCATATCATGAGCTTTCCCACAATATCGCAATAAATATCGTACCATGAGGTTCTTACCAGGATGATACTGTATTGTGAGACTTGGATATCATTACACCCATAGTACTGGAGCAAGATTTATTTTTCTCAAATACATTGAAAAGAAGATTATAAATGAATCATATAGGTACCACTATTACCATTTATTGGTCACATCAGCAAGTTAATGGTGCACTGTGTAACTTTTCAGGTTGGGGATCCGCCACCATGCCTAGATATTGCTTTGCCTGTAATATTCCACAATACGATATTAAACTTAAACTTATACAAGATGCATTTATTCAATTGTTGGTGTTTTTATTGCTCAAAATTAAAGGAAAAAAAAAACAATACAAAAAAACCCTTTAAAAAACATGAATTCTTGCTATGAGTGGGGTCGCCTCTTCTCAGATCTGACCTGTAAATTGGCCTGGTGGTGTCTCTTGGTTGACTCTATGAGGATTGATAAGTTTAATGCCTATTTTGGAACATTACTGGCAAATAGGGCTCAGGTATCATTAAGAAGTTGCTGATACAATACGAACCTCGATACCTAGGCCATGATACTATACATATATCGATACAGTGCACTTTTGATTTGATACAGTATATTTCAAATCGATTTGATATGGTTCAATAAAAAATAAAGGATAAATCATGACTGTGATACTGAAAGTCTTTGTTAAACCACTTCTTGAACACAAATCATCAAAACAGTGAAAATGTCAAATGTGTCGCATAAACGAGTTTCCTTCCTTTGAACAAACAATACCAAAAAATAGTCTTGGCGATATATTGATACAACAGCCCATGATATCGATACTACCCCTACTGGCAAAGCAATAACATCTCCATTTTAACAAGTAACTAGCGGGCCTTCTACCAGAAAAGTTACACAGTTCACCTTTAAGAATTGAATGTCAGCTCAAAAAAAAAAAGAGGAAATCCATAATTGTTTTAATCAATAAATTATCTTATTTGTGATTAATTAAATAATGGATAAACCATAACCCGCTGCTCATACCTGTGTGTGTAGGTGTGAGTGGACTTGGTCGTCATGGCGCAGTGGAATCAGTTGCAGCAGCTGGAGACTCGGTACCTGGAGCAGCTCTATCACCTGTACAGCGACAGCTTTCCCATGGAGCTACGGCAGTTCCTCGCCCCCTGGATCGAGAGCCAGGACTGGTCAGTACAGGGCATCTGTTTATTGTATTCTGTTTAGTTTTATGTTATAACAAAATCTCTCTAGAATTACTTAAAGAGCCCATATTACACTACTTTCTGTTCTATGTTATAATGTTGTTTCCTCATCATCATCACAAACATACACAACTCCAGGTATGTTTCTGAGGAGGCAACAACATTATAACATGCCTTAAAACTCACAAGAATCAATTTGACTAATATAGGACCCCTAAATTCATACAACTGGAAACAAAATATAATCTTAAACCAACTACCATTCCCTACTCTTCTCTACTACATCCATTACTTACGTTTGTTTTGTTTGTTTCTCCAGGGCTTATGCTGCTAACAAAGAGTCCCATGCTACTCTGGTCTTCCATAACCTCCTGGGGGAGATCGATCAGCAGTACAGCCGCTTCCTGCAGGAGAATAACGTTTTGTACCAGCACAACCTGAGGCGGATCAAGCAGCACCTCCAGAGCAAATACCTGGAGAAGCCCATGGAGATCGCCCGCATCGTCGCCCGCTGCCTGTGGGAGGAGCAACGCCTGCTACAGACCGCCACCACCGCCACACAGGTAACCATGGAGACACTGTCAGTTAAAAGTTAGGGATGGGGGAGGTAAATGAAAACAGTTTAAATGCCTATGACCATTTTTTTATAAAATAAAAACAAAAAATGTGCCCCCCAAAAAACATGCATCCCTCTCTCCACACACAGTCCTGAGTGATGTCACCAACTACTTCAAATTGCTGCAGGGACTGGAGGCAATACACACCCATTTCTATACATGTTTGACCACAAAGACGCAAATGTACCTTATTTGCAATAAAATTTTGCAAAGTGGATAATGCTATTAAAACACCATATATACAGTTTAGTAGCAAAAGAAATTTATTTGGTTTCACTTTCACAATTTGTTTGGAGCCTCAACCCAGTTTCGATTTTATCACAATTAATGTAAACATAGTATCTTTATATTGCTTTAAAGAGGGTGAAAGTTCACACATTCCCATTGGTTAAATCCATCTGTCACTCACTCAGAGCTTTAATGAGACTGCTCAAGAGGAGCAGGGTAGAAAAATGTTCTTCTTTTCTTTCTTTGGGCATTCAAGATAAAAAAAAAAAAAAAAAAAAAAAGTTTATTTGGCCAAAAAAAGCAGATTGCTACAGGAGTGAGCTTAAATTAAATCTTTTTTTTTTTCTTCAGTTATATTAAATTCAGTGTTTTATCATATCACCCATACCTATCGATAGTATTTAATGAATTAGTTATTCAGAATCTGAAATTATTCAGAAATTATTTGCACTTTTTAGACATTCATAGAGTCATTGAAATAATAAACAATTTCAAATTTAAAGGTGCACTTTAACTTTTTGGTTGGAGGTCTGTCACCTGCTTGTCTCTTTGGATATGTCATTGCTCTGCCTGGAATGTTCCACATTGTGACATTAAACAGCTCTACCTTAAATGTATTCAGTTACAGGTGATTTTATAGCTCAAATATATACTTAGACAAACAGAGAAAATCATTTTCCGGACCCTCCACTAAATGCACCTATAAGATGAACAAAGACTTGAAGATGAATTGCTTGGTCACAGTTGCTGCATGTAAAACTGGTGTAAGTGACTGAGGGAAATAAAGTGATTCATCAATATTGAGATTAAAAATTTACAAATCAGATTTTTGTTTATAACCACAACAAGGAGGAAATGGCAATTAGTCATAGGTTTTACTAAATAGAAAAGTAAAACTGAAATAAAACGTAAAATTAAACCATGAAAAAAGCCCCTTCAAAGTTAGTAATTTAAGGAGAAATTACAAAACCAACATGAGCAGACATGACTAAGCATGACCTTCATAATACAGATAAAATGATACAAACCACAAATATGTTTTATTAGGCTGTGATTTGAATATTAGGGTTTATCACAAAAATTAAAAATTAAAATTACTAATAAATAACAATTAAAGAATGCTTGTTAAAAGTTTGTCAAGTTTGTGCAATATATTGCAGACTCTTGTGAGCTTTTAGCCATGTTATAATGATGTTACTTCCTCTAAACATACCTTGAGTTGTGTTTTGTTTCATTCAGACATGTTTGAGTAATCCTTTTATTATTAGTATGTGTACATCTCAAAAGCTCATACTGCTCTGTCCCACCTTGTGATGCGGTACTTTTCAAGTTAACACCCAGCTTTTACTGTAAATGTGCCTTGTGTAACTTTTCTGGTGACGGGTCCTTCATCTGCTTATCTCCGTGGAAATGTCATTGCTTTGTCTAGAATATTCCACGGTATGACATTAAACACATCAATCTAACACATCAGTTATTCGTTACAGGAGTTTCTATTGCTCAAAAATACAATAATTGTCTCTGTGAATGAGAGCAACTCTCCACAGATCTGATCTGTAATATAGCCTATAGGTGTCTCCCTCATGCTAGATTGGATTAATCTCTATTGTGGAACACTCTAGACAAAGCAATAACTTCTCCATGGAGACAAGCAGGCAGCAGACCCTCCCCCAGAAAAGTTGCACAATGCACTTTAAGTTCCAAGCCAATGTATGGCAGTGGAACAGAGTGTTTTTTTTGTGTTTGAGAGAAGACCTAATTTTGTAGGATTTGTGTGTTAGACATGAATGAAACAAAACACAATTCCAGGTCTGTTTTTGATGAGGAAACAACATTATATAGAGATAAGAAAATAGTGTAATATGAGCTCTTTAAAAATAATATAATGTTTTTCACAGGACGGTCAGGCTGCACACCCTACAGGGACAGTGGTCACAGAGAAACAGCAAATTTTGGAGCACAACCTTCAGGACATCAGGAAACGCGTGCAGGTTTGTTTTAAATACATTTTTATTCCCAAATGAATAAAAAATTAAAAACATAACCTGACCTGGACTTCTCATCTTTTTATTTACAGGATATGGAGCAGAAGATGAAAATGCTCGAAAATCTTCAAGACGATTTTGACTTCAACTACAAGACCCTCAAAAGCCAAGGAGGTATGAGCTATTGATACTTTGCATTGACATCACGCTGTGGGGGGTCTACATGTATGTTTATGGCAGAATGTTTAGATGTTACCATGGTGACACAATGCACGCATTACCAAACATAGCCAAAAAGTTTTAATATTGTCTGAAAACTAAAAAATCCAAAATGGATTTAAACACATCAGGTCAACCTTGTGTCTGTTTTGATGTCTGTGTGTTACCTTTTCAAAAACAGACCTGGAGTTGTGTTTTGTTTCATTCACACGTTTATCTACATTTCCAAAGCTCAAAATGCTCTGTTCCACCTTGTAATGTCATGAAGTGGTAGTTTTCGACAGCCACGTTTTACCTTTTGTTCAGTAGAGATTGGCAATTCCTGGGATGAAATTATACAAATTATTCTAGTGAAGATGGACAGGATGGAACAGAGTGTTTTTTGTTTGAGAGAAGAACTATAAATGCAGGTTTTGTGTGTTAAACATTTGCAAATGAAACAAACTCCACAACTCCAGGTATGTTTTTGACGAGGAAACCAAATTATCAGCATTGATCAGAAAAGACTGTAATATGGGCCCTTTAATCAACTTTTAATTTTATATTTTATTTGTCTTCTTTCAGAGTTGGCTCCGGAGATGAACGGAAACACTCAGGCTGCTGCCACCCGACAGAAAATGGCTCAACTCGAACAGATGCTGAGCGCTTTGGACCAGCTCAGAAGAGTCAGTGTCTTTATTTAAATACTTTGTTTCTGGCTGTCACTCAGAGCTTTTATGGAGATTACAAACAGACAATAGAGATGGTAGCTTGCCAAATTAACTAAACTAAATTGTATATAAATAATGATGTAATAGCTTAGTTTGCAGACCTATAAAAATAAGTGAAGATCTCCCAGCACTCCCCAACTTTGGAGAATGGTCTATAGAGTAACTTGAGTCTCAAAGTTAACCAAGATTTGATGCAACTGTGGAAGAAAAATGTGTATTATACGTAGGTGCTTTTCTCCATGGAGATGTTATTGCTTTGTCTGAAATGTTTCACAGTATGTCATTAAACTTTTCTATCTTCATGGAGACCAAACCAGAACAAGTTACAGTTCAGATCTGTGGAGAGCCAACCCCACTTACAGTCAGAATGTTTGTTTTTCTGGGTAGTTTTGAGCTATACACCTGTAACTGAATAAATGTAAGGTAGAGCTGTTCAGTGTCATACTGCGGAACATTCCAGGCACAGCAATGACATATCCATAGAAACAAGCGGGTGACAGGCCCCCAACCAAGAAGTTTCACTGTGCACCATGACTGTCTGTGCTAAAATTGTTTTTGTGTGTTGTCTCTTAGCAAATCGTGACAGAGATGGGGGGGCTTTTGACTGCCATGGATTACGTTCAGAAGAACCTGACGGACGAGGAGCTGGCCGACTGGAAGCGCAGACAGCAGATCGCCTGCATCGGGGGCCCTCCCAACATCTGCCTGGACCGCCTCGAGACCTGGTGAATACTGCTCGTTCATACTAGGATTTACAGGGCCCATATTAGGCTGTTTTCTGATCTCTGTTTCAATGCTGTTGCCTGGAAACATACCTGGAGTTGTGTTTTGTTTCATTCACACATGTTTAATGTTTAACACACAAACCCTGTATATTTAGGCTTCTCTCAAAACACACTGTTGCCCCTAGTGATGTCATGTGGTAATACAGGAAGTGCTCCACTATTGTTTTGAATTCCATACACTTTCACTAGACTAGACTACATTTGGATGATTTCAGACCTAGAATTGCCAGTGTTTACTGAACTGAAGGTAAAAAGGAGCTGTTAACTTGAAAACATCCACTTCATGACATCACATGGTAGAACAGAGCATTTTGAGCTTTGGAGATGTAGATAAACTAATAATGCAGAATTACTCAAACATGTGTGAATGAAACAAAACACAACTTTGAGTGTGTTTTCGATGAGGTGATAACGTTATAACGTGTCTTAAAGGTCACAAGAGGACCACATAGGACCTTTTAAAGAGCACTGAAATAAAACCAAAGAAGATTTGTAACTTTAGGCGGTTCAGACTGAAGGAAATAAGTGTAAGGTTAGCGCCTACATCATAACAGGGAGAGCTCTTTTGCTTATGACTGACTGGACATGACTAATCGTGACTTTAAGTGGTGCATTTTACAGATAAGATAATACAAACCACAGATGTTTTATTAGGCCATGAGTGTGAATAAAATGTCAAGATTAATCACAACATTTCACAATAAATTGTATTATCATGAAATTGAACCTTTGCTGCAAAAGTTCAGTTGTTTTGATTCAATTTTGTTATAATATTTTAATTCTGGATGTCTCAAGAGCTGCTTCAATTAATATATAATTACTAATATATTGCAATTACATAATGCTGTAGGATCTGGCACAAAACTCAACCCAAAGTGTGTAACTCAGTCAGGCTTTTAGCTCAGTTATCCACCAAAATATTTAAGGAATATCTCCAATTACCTTTATTTGAACAAGACACATGAAACTGATATGTGTAGTGCTCAGCTGAGTTCTACACATCAATCTGGGATAGCTGAAAACGTCATGCCGAATATTCAGGAGCTATTGTGAACCTTCTGCATATAATTGAGATGAACATATTATTAACAGTTATATTTTTTCCTCTCTGTTATTATAATATATTGTGATGTGTGAGCTGCTGTGTTCAAATAGTTTCCGTTGTAGATCAGTAAAGTTTGTCTAAGTCTGAAGTGTAATGTTCATAGACGTCTTCCCTGTCCACAAATTTCGCAAACAAAAAGTCTGTATTTCTGCTATTTAAAAAAAAGGCTGACGTAGTCCTTCTGTAACGCCATATTTGTTTTGGTTTCTCTGGTGTTCCACCTCTGGTTTCAACCCAAACCACATGACTGCAAACGCAACATGATTGAAATAACATATTTTGCACAACAGACATTAAATCACCCAACTTAGCCTTTTTACTGACCTATGTTATAATGTTTCCTCATCACAAACAAAGCTGGAGTTGTGTTTTGTTTTATTTACACGTTTAACACACAAACCCTGCATATTTGATATATTCTCTAGAACAGAAAACACTGTTCCACCTTGTGATGTCATGTGGTAATACATGAGGTGCTCCACTGTGTATTTCAACTCATTTGAATAATTTCAACACTAGAACTAATGGTAAAAGGTAGCTAATTAACTTGGAAACTACTACTAAACGACATCACAAGGTTAAACAGAGCATTTTGAGTTTTGGAGATTGTTACGGCTCGTGGTCTGTCTCCGGCTCCGCATCGCCTGGCGCTCCCCATTTGTATTACCGCATGTATCTTCCGTATTTTCATGTCCTGTGTGGTGCCTGCTATCTGACTGGTGGGCCGTGGTTCCGATGCTGTGGGCTGGCTCCGACACCCCTGGTGCTGTGGTTGGAGGATTGACGTCCCGTTCCTCCAGTCCCTTCCCTACACATCAATCACCTCGACCAATAAAAGTGCTGTGCGCCTGTTCCTCCTGGCGGCTGGATGGCAGTTTCAGTTCGCCCCTCACATCTGTAGATGTTCGTTAGTTGTCTCTCTTTGATATTGTAAAGTGTGTTTATATTACTACAAATGTTAGTTGCCAGTTTGGCTCGGCCCTTGGGCAGTTTTTTTTTTTTGTTGCTGTTAGCTACCTTAGTTTAGGAGTGATTTAGTTAACTTTGGGGAATTCTGATTTTTCACATGTAAAACGTTTTATGTTGTCATTTTACTTACCTACATCACTTTATAAAACCCGTTTACTTTACATCATATCTGGTTTGTGTTACTTTCCTTTGTCCCTAGCACTGGGTTGTAACAGAGATGCAGACACATTAATAATAAAGAATTACTCATTGAAACAAATAAAACAAAACACAACTTCAGGTATGTTTTTGGGGATGTAGCAACGTTATAATGTGGTTTGAAGCTTACAAGAGTCATTTTTTTATAATATAGGACCTTTTAATGGTTGGTTATACAATTGTTATCTAACCACTTCATGTCATTGCCAAAATAACAGATTTTTCCATTGAACCAGGATCACGTCTTTGGCCGAGTCCCAGCTCCAGATCCGACAGCAGATTAAAAAACTGGAGGAACTTCAGCAGAAAGTCTCTTATAAAGGAGACCCCATAATCCAGCACCGGCCCGCCCTGGAGGAGAAGATCGTAGACCTGTTCAGAAGTCTCATGAAGAGGTACAGTTCTGTCAATAGAGTTTCATTACAATAGAGATAAGCAGGCAGATATTTGCAGTGTTTAGCATATCAGATATCGACGTTGAATCTCCAGCAGAGGCCGATATTTAGTTTTGACTGACCAGTTGCTTAAAAGTGCGTTGGGTAACTTTTTTGGTGGAGGGTCCGTCAATTGCTTTTCTCCATGGAAATGTTATTGCGTTGTCTGGAATGTTTCACAGTATGGCATTAAACCTTTCTATCTTCATGGAGACCAAACCAGATCAAGTTACAGGTCAAATCTGTGGAGAGATGACCCCGCTCACAGTCAGAATGCCTGTTTTTCTAGGTGTTTTTGAGCTATTTAAAAAAACAAAAAAAACAATAATAAGATAGAGTTGTTTATGTCATACTGTTTAACATTCCACACAGAATAATGACATCTTCATAGAAACAAGCAGAGGACAGACCCCCAATCAAAAGTTACATTGTGTACTTTTAAAGATTGTGCATAAAGCTTTATATTAACACTTTATTATGATAAATGATCAAAATTTTACAACACAACTCTCTAGATTGGCAAACAAAGGGGCTGTGAGTGAATTTGTAAAAGTAAAAGTACAGATACAGGGGCAAAAAGTTTCTCAAGAAAAACACAAAAAGTAAAATCATTGAAGCACCTGCTTGAAAATGTAGTTAAAGAGTAAAAAGTACAAGTATTTTTCATAGCCTTTTAGAACACTTAAAGGATGAAATGTAGCGAGATTGGTAAAGAATTTAGCTGATTTTAAGTTATTCAATTGATTTCTTAATTTTTCTAGCTGTTTTTGGTGTTTATATGTGTTTGGTTTGCTCAAAGTTAGCACAGAAACTAAATACTCTAAAAATAAGTGTCAGCCATTTCAGCAGGTCTCAAACCATAAAGAAAAGTACATTTTACTTTTCAGTTCAGATCTGAAATAGAAATAGTAAGAAAGAAAAAGATTAAGCAGAAAGTAGAAAGTACAGATTTCTGCTCTCAAATGTGAAAAGTGAAGTAAAAGCAAAACGTATCCACTGTAAAATGTTCTTAAAGTAAAGTAAAGTAAAGTACAGGCACCTAAAACGTGTACTTAAATATTATGTACTTTTACTTTTGTACTTTGTTCCCTTCCAACACTGTCTGCCATCAGTTGCTCAAGATTATAAACCCTTATCAGTCCATCTGCAGATTACATTGTTACAGTATTTACATAGATATTTTGACATTGCATTTATCATTCTTCTTATTGTGTTGTAGTGCGTTTGTGGTGGAGAGACAGCCGTGTATGCCCATGCATCCAGACAGGCCCCTGGTCATCAAAACAGGAGTGCAGTTCACAAATAAAGTCAGGTAAGAAAAAGCCAGCATGGCCTTTGAATAAAATTACTTCTATGATTATTGTATTTATTTGAGCTAATATTTGATCCACTTTCAGATTACTGGTGAAGTTCCCAGAGCTCAACTACCAGCTGAAAATTAAAGTTTGTATTGACAAGTGAGTATTAGTTGTATCTTTCATTCATTAAACTGTTTTAATACTACTTTACTTATTTATTTACTTTTTTAAAATCTTTCTAGGGAATCAGGGGATGTTGCTGCCATTCGGGGGTAAGTCGCTTTTCTTCAAGCAATTTTTAACAGTCACTATGTAACTTTTCTATTAAAAGTTCAGTACCCTGTTGTGTCCATGGAGATATGCAAGGGAGGTTGCTTTTGCTGGAATGTACCATAGTTTTTCTTTAAACTTGTTTATTATTTAATTATAGGAGTGTTTTGGGTTTGTTTTTTTTACGGTAAAACGATACCTTGAAAAATGTGTATTCTACTGTAAATGGGCCCATCTTTCCGCAAATTAGACCTGTAACATTTCATGGCACTTGTGTTCATGGAAATAAATGAGTTTAATATCATACTGTGGAACATTTCATGCAAAGCAACAACATCCACATGGTAGTGCACCTTTAAATTAAAAATAGACCCTTTAATATGTCACAAATACACTGTACTTATATTGCTTCTTGTATTTCTTTAGTTCACGTAAATTTAACATCCTCGGCACCAACACCAAAGTCATGAACATGGAGGAGTCCAACAATGGGAGTCTGTCTGCAGAATTTAAACACTTGGTGAGTTACAGATTAAAATGTTGCCTGCCCACTGGAATCAAGTAATTTCCAACATCTTAAAATGGATATTATTGTTTCACCAGCTTTACAAACCAATATTGGTCACCACCCTTAAAACACTCTTGGATATTTAACCACTTTAAACGTTACTTGACTTAAGGTAGGGTTGTTAAAAGTATCGAAAATGAGATACTAATCTAGTATGTATCTAGTAAGTATCTGTCTCATACTCATTTGAGCAGGTATCGATACTAAAAAAGTCACATTCACAGGACAGAAATTAACCTTTTCTGAATCGCTTTAAATGATGTTGAGCTGTATCAGAACAAGTAGAAGAGCACATAGACTAGTATACGCCCATGGACCACTATGGAACCAACCTGGACCACCGAGGGATTACGCACATATAAGGCCACATGATAGTATAAAAGAAAGTACTGTGATGTAAAGTTGAAAATCACATTCTGAGTGTTGAATGAAGTATTCAGGGTAGCCGCGGGGTCTTAAAAGTCTTAAAAAGATCTGAAATTTCATGTTCCTAAATTAAGGCCTTAAAAAGTCTTTAATTATGTTGTCCAAGTCTTATTTTTTTCACAAAGGTCTTAAATTTCATTAGGCTATTTTTTTGTAGACTCAACCGGGCTGCAGTGCAAAGTTTAATAAGTCTTGTTAGAATGCTATAAATTATTTTTTGGTAATTTTACAAGCAATGCACACTACTATAAATGAGTTCTGAATGACATTTTATAATTAAAGTATTTTTTGTTATTTAAAGCAGTGAGTAATGGTCATTATAAGAATTGGATCTTTAGTTTTCGCCTGCATAATGAGTGCGATGTTGGTCTTAATTTTCATTTAAGTGGTCTTAAAAAGGTCTTTAAAATGTCTTAAATTTGGTGTAGTCAGACCTGGGGATAACCTGGTATTGGAATCGATATCGAGTCTATTCCTTAGTATCAAAATCAAGTTTGAAATTTCAGTATCATGACAAAGAAAAGCATGTTTACCATGCCCTGCTTTATGAAAGAAAGAAGTACAGCCATTATGTAACTGAAAATGAGTTTTGTAAACCAAGTGAAAGTGTCAGTTTAAAAATCCTGTTGCACTGACTTCCTGTTTTTCTTCAGACCCTGAGGGAGCAGAGGTGTGGCAACGGCGGCCGTACCAACAGTGATGTAAGATCTCTGTGCATTTCATCTTGATGTCATTGTTTCAAAAATATAAAACTTTATTTATAACATGATTTGTACTCTACAGGCTTCTTTAATTGTCACAGAAGAGCTGCATCTCATCACCTTTGAAACAGAAGTCTATCATCAGGGACTGAAGATTGATCTCGAGGTGAGCAGAATCGTACCGAAATAAACAATGGAAGTTTGGATCACAGAGGCAGGTTAAGTGTTCACCCACTAACCAGAGAGTAGCGAGTTCAAATCTGACCATAGTGAATACTGGTTGAAACTGCAAGGCCACAGTATGCAAATGTATTTTTCTCATACATTATAACAATTTTGAATACAGTGATTGGACTGCGGCATCGAATCACAAATGCTGCATTCACTTGTCTTGGTTTAGCCTTGGTTTGATCATGATTTACTGTTATTTTCGGGTTAGGTTCAGTAATAGTTAAGGATGCACCGCCAGCTTTCCGATATTGATGTTGATACTAATTTAAATATCTGGCAATACCTGATATCAACCGATACCAGTGTGGAGACTAAAAACTGCATTTATTTCAATTAAACCAAAATAATCTGAAACAAAACTGATCCAAATGTTTTAAGTAGCTGTTGTATATCTCTATAGTAACTACACAACAAGTTTATATAAATATAACTTCAAACATCATGAGACTTTCTGGACCAAAGTAAACAGTCTTATTACGTTAATGCATCTGTCCAACCAATATATCGGCTGAATCGATATTTGGGAGCAGATATCTGATCCAGCAATTTTTAATATCCTATGTCAGTATAGGATCGGTGCATCCCAAGTACTAGTATATAGTGTAGGCCAATATGCTGATATAAAATTAAAAAGTGATTTAGTCTACTTTTCCCCACCTTCAGTTGGTCAGCCCCTGCAAAGCTCTAAGTGAGTGACAGGTGGATTAACCAATCACAGTGAAGTGTCAACTCAGATCTTTTTTCCGCAATCAACACAAAGCAAAGTCTACAGGAGTTATGAACAAATTATTGTGATCTATAGACCCAAACAAAATTGTAATGTATTGCTATTAATTGTTGACTTCATCTTTCTGTTTTCTTCCTGAATTATTTTGTATGCAGACCCATTCACTGCCAGTTGTTGTCATCTCCAACATCTGCCAAATGCCAAACGCCTGGGCCTCCATTCTGTGGTACAACATGCTCACTAACCACCCAAAAGTAAGAGAGCGACCCCTTCTGGAGTGTAGGACCCACAGAGCCATATTACGCTATTTTCTGATATGTGTTATGATGTTGTTTCCTCATCACAAACCTACCTGGAATTTTGTTATGTTTCATTCACACAAACCCTGCATATTTAGAAAACACTCTGTTCCACTTGATGTCATGTGGTAATACACAAAGTTCTCCACTGTTTTTAAACTCCACCTTCACTAGAATACTCGGGATAATTTTAGCCCTGGAATTGCCAAACTCTACTGAACTAAAGATAAAGGGTAGCGGTTAACTTCATGACAACCCCAAAATGGAAAAGAGCATTTTGGGGTTTGGAGATGTAGACAGACAAATAATTAAGAATTACTTAAACATGTATGAATGACACAAAACCCAACCCCAGGTGTGTTTTTGATGAGGTAACAACATTCTAACATGACTTAAAGCTCACAAGGGTCAGTTTTGCGTAGACCTTAAAGCTCTCATATTGTTGTGATATTAACTTGAGCTTGCTTGTCCATTCAGAATGTAAACTTCTTCACCAAACCTCCGGTCGGGACTTGGGACCAGGTGGCTGAGGTCCTGAGCTGGCAGTTCTCCTCCACCACCAAAAGGGGGCTCACTATCGAACAGCTCACGACACTGGCGGAGAAACTGCTGGGTAAGAAAAGTTGCAAACATAAACAAATCAACTATTACATTTGGACCAGCTCCATCAAACTGGCCTCTCACCTGTTGTTGGTTCAGTACAGTTCCTTCCTTGGATTATTTGAATCTGTGTTTTAAATTATACTGTGGAATAAGGAAAAGCAAGTCCTCTTGAAAAAGTTACATGATCCACCGTTCAATTTTTACACAGCTCTTTTCCACCTTTGAGATACTGAAAACATTTATATTAAGGAAGCACTCACCCATTCACACGCACATTCAAGCACCAATATACACGAACACTGGGGGTAAGGTGGCTTAAGTGTCTTGCCCAAGGGCACAGTCTATTAATACAATCGCTTGCAATTGCTAATTAAATTTTGAGGAAAAGCCGTGTTTCTCAAAACCAATTTCGATAACACAAAGACATTATTATTAAACATTAAAAGTTATATATTGATATTTCTAATGAGTATCTAGTTTTTGGTACTTTAGTATTGATTACTATCTGGGTATCAATACTTTTTTGCACTTTTTAATTCATATATAAGAAGTAATAGTTCGTCACACCTCTTTTTATAATATCAAATCACAGTACAAGCCATATTAACTTTCCCTTATGTAATTTTTGTTTAGGACCTTGTGTGAACTACTCTGGCTGCCAAATCACCTGGGCCAAGTTCTGTAAGGTAATGCAGCTTTTTCACTTTTGTTCACTCTAGACAATATTCAGACTGTATTGTTTGGTTTTATATTGTTGTTTTGTCTCATTTGTAGGAAAACATGGCTGGGAAGGGCTTTTCTTTCTGGGTGTGGTTAGACAACATCATTGACCTGGTTAAGAAATACATCCTGGCTTTGTGGAACGAAGGGTGAGACCGAGGGCTTTGTTTATGGTCATGTGATAGCTTGGAGATTCCCAAAAGTGATGCTATAACTTTCTTTTGTGTATTTTTGCCTTGTTATTCCAGTTATATCATGGGTTTTATCAGTAAAGAACGAGAGAGGGCGATCCTGAGCCCCAAACCCCCCGGGACCTTTTTGTTGAGATTCAGTGAAAGCAGCAAAGAGGGCGGCATCACCTTCACATGGGTGGAGAAAGACATCAGCGGTGAGTGGGAAAATATAGGGCAGGGTCATATGAAAAAAATAAAATAACAAAGGAGATACATTTCATTATTTTCAACAAATAAAAACAATACAATGCAGATTAATATGAGATGAATATGAGACAAAATGATACGATTACAAAGGACAGCCTGCTCTATAGAGTAAGGCTAGGTGATATGACAAAAACATTTATCCTTTTTCTTCTCTTGTATTTATTGATCAGGATTTTAGATTGTATTTTGTATTATTTAAAACAGATAAAATAACTTTCAAACTGCTGTAAGTTATCCACATAGGCCAGTCCCCCAGCCAGGTACTACTGAACAAAATCCATGCTCAGATCTGGATAGGGTAGCCGCGGGGTCTTAAAAGTCTTAAAAAGGTCTTAAATTTCATGTTCCTAAATTAAGGCTTAAATTAAAAAAGTCTTAAATTATGTTGTCCAAGTCTTATTTTATTCATAAAGGTCTTAAATTTCATTAGCCTATTTTCTGTATACTGTATTCTGTCAACCGGGCTGCAGGGCAATGTTAAACGGAGGGAGAAAAACAAAACAACAACGTGAAATCATGTAACATGAACGAATGTCTAATTTGGAGTATGCGCAAACAAACTTTTGGTTTCTGGTGCCGGCAGCAATGAGTAAACTATCAGTAGAGTGGAGGAAGACGTTGAATGGATCATGGGGAAGTGTAGCTTTAATCCACAGTGGCTCTTAGATTCTAGATATATGACCTTAGTTGGTCATTATTAGGATTGGATCTGGTGTTTTTTGCCCGCATAATGGGTGCGATGTTAGTCTTAATTTTCATGTAAGTGGGCTTAAAAATGTCTTAAAAAGTCTTAAATTCGGGGTAGTCAAACCTGGGGACACCCTGCTGGAGAAGGGCTGTAAATGCATTCGTCTTACATTACACATTTCAGGTGCTCCAAGTCGCTTTACAATTTCATGCATTGTTCATTCACTCCACACTCAGTGGTGGTAAGATACTATTGTAGCCATTGGCCCCTCTGACCATTACCAACATTCATCATATTAGGCAAGACACTTCACCCATATTACCTAAGGACACAACAACATGGCACCCCACTGTGTCACCTGACATTTCCTGTAGTCCCCATCCAAGTACTAACCAGACCCTGCTTAGTTTCTGAGATCAGACAAGCTCAGTTTTTTAGCGTTTCAGTTTGTGCATTGAAGAAAAGGCTTAATATGACATTAAGCAGCCCTGTGGAGACAATCAACCTCACCTTATCCTAACATATAACTTGATTTATTTCCAGGTAAGACACAGATCCAGTCGGTGGAGCCTTACACCAAACAGCAGCTCAACAACATGTCCTTCGCTGACATCATCATGGGATACAAGATCATGGATGCCACCAACATCCTGGTCTCTCCACTGGTCTATCTGTACCCAGACATCCCCAAAGAGGAGGCCTTTGGCAAATACTGCAGACCAGAGGCAGCCCCCGAGCCGGAAATGGGATCGGGAGACTCCACCAGCAGTAAGTCCAACTCAAACTGCGTTTACATCACCTTATTTTAATGCGGATTTTAAAGTATTTGTAGAAATAACAGGAGATAAAAATACCATACATTATTTTCAGCTTCAGCAGGTTTTTTTTTAGCTTCAGATGGATTTTCATATTAGTCTTGTCACAATACTAAAATTTCAAACTTAATTTCAGTACTAAGGAATAGACTCAATAGAATGTGATTTTCAAATTTAAATCATAGTACTTTCTTTTATATTCCCATGTGGTTTTATGTCTGTGTAATCCTTCAGTGGTCCAGGTAGGAGTATTTAGTTTTAGTATCCATTAGTATCTGATTTCTATAATTTTGACATTCCTTTTGTATATGCAAGGTTCATGCAATATTTAGTAAGGAGATTTAATTTGTAGTTTACAGATTTTATACAGGAATATTGTTACTTGCTTAGGCTACATTACATTGCAATTCATTCGAAACATTAAAAAAGAAACGACACACATTTCAAACATGGTCACTTAGTTGTAGAAGTATGTAGTATTTTTGCGATAACTTACCCACTTCATAAGTTTCAGATATTTTAGGTGCATTGCGTAACTTTTCTGGTGGAGGGTCTGTCAGTTTCTTTTCTCCATGTAGGTGTTATTGCTTTGTCTGGAAGTTTTCACAGTGTGGCATTAAACCTTTCTATTATCATGGAGACAAAACCAGATCAAGTTACAGGTCAGATCAGTGGAGAGGCAGTCAGAATGCCTGTTTTTCTAGGTATTTTTGAGCTATCAAACATCTATAATTTTAAAAATGTAAGGTAGAGCTGTTTAATATCATACTGTGGAACATTCCAGGCACGAGCAATGATATATCCATAGACACAAGAAGTTGACGAACCCAAAAAGTTCTGTAGTGCACTTTTAAAACTGGTCTGCATATCGATTCATCATGCTCTTTGTTCTGGCTTTGTTTAGTCCTATTTTAATCTTGCAGTGTTCTTCAATTTAATAGCTGTTTCATTATTTTCTTTTGCAGTAATCCAGCCATATTTGAAGACCAAGTTCATCTGCGTTACCCCGTGAGTATCTTGTGTCTCATCAAATCAAAACTGTGTCAAATTTTACGTAAAATATTGAAATCATGCCACTCAGCGAAAAAGGTTCCCTTTTCACAGAGAAAGTGTTACGCAAAGTCAGACTTGTTGATTCCTTCTCTTAAGTGAACTCATAGTTTCCTCTGTGCTATTTTCTATTCTAGAATTTATATGTTGCCCCTGGTAATGAAACAATTTACTCTCACTGAGGACTTCTTGAGAACTTGAATCCAATTTAAAAGGTGCATTGTGTAACTTTTCTGTAACTGCTTTTTGCCGTTGAAATGTTATTCCTTTGTCTGGAATGTTTCACAGTGTTTTCTGTATAAATGAATAAATGTAAGGCAGAGCTGTTTAATGTCGTACTGTGGAACATTCCAGGCAGAGTAATAATATCTCCATAGAAACAAGCAGGTGACGGACCCCGAAACAAAAAGTTACATAGTGCATTTATGAATAAAAAACAGAGCTGACACAAGTTAACCTAGTAATCGCAACTATTTGATTGTTATCTGGACGTCAAAACATGCAATGTGCTGAGAGAAGAGGTAACAGCAGTAATTACATTTAAATGAAAGTGAATGTATAATTGTGTGTTTTGAGTGAAAAAACAAATAATCTATCAAGAAGATCTTAAAGGTCAATATTACACAAAATTGATTTCTATGAGCTTTAAGCCAAGTTATAATGTTGTTATCGCCTCAAAAACAGTGGTCAGATGAAGAATAAAAGGTAGAGCGCTTCACTGGGTCTTAAAAGAGTAAAAAATAGCAGTACAGTTGCTCTACGAGGGTTGAAACAGTGGTCATTGAACAAAAAATTACTCTTACTGGAAAATGTAAGAATGGGTAAGGTACAAAGGTAAGGTAATATATTCAGTCGGAGTGCCTCGGGTTTGTACCTTACCCATCCTTACATTCTCCAGTAAGGGTATTTTTTTGTTCAAAGACCTGGAGTGGTGTTTTGTTTCATTCACACATGTTTGAGTAATCCTTTATTATTAGTCGATGTACATCTCCAAAGCTCAAAATGCTCTGTTCCACCTTGTGATGTCGTTAAGAGCTGCCAGCTACTTTTGTTCAAGAGATTGGGGAATTCCAGGACTAACATCAACCAAATGATTCTAGTGAAGGAACACAACGTGGAACACAACGTTTTCTGTTTGAGAGAAGAACACAGCCTAAATATGCAGGATTTGTGTGTTAAACATGTGTGAATGAAACAAAACACAAGTCCAGGTCTATTTGTGATGAGGAAACAACATTATAACATCTCTTTAGCTTTATCTTATATTCACAGACCTTTTGTGACAGAGATGCGATAATGGTGGACAATACCACTAGGTTGCTAGGACGGTGCTTCTTGTTGTGTCCCTTGGCAAGACACTTAAGGCTGGTTGGAACAGGAAGACGGGATGAAATTGAAGATCTGAGTCTGAAGTGGCAAATTAGATAATATGATTTCTATAAACCGGAGGGGGGCAGTTTGTTCTTGAGTGGTTCACAGGAGTAGAGAGAAATTATTTAAGCCTTTAACCTTTTTTAGTCAGGAGCCCCATAAAAACAGCTGATATTTATAAAAGTGAATCTTACTATTATCATTGAATTTAGCATAATAAACTTGCCAGATTATATTGATACTTTGCGGTGACATTGCGATGGGGGTGTTCTAAATGCAGCTACAGTTTTTGCCACTGGCACCCCACGGTAGCACCTAATTTTGCCAACCACTATGGTCACCCATCCCAAGTACTACCCAAGCCCAGCCTTGCTTAGCTTCTGAGATCTGACGAGGTGAGGCTTCGACAAGTCGCTATAGCCACAGTTAGGAGCTGGGGTGTGATGCTAGTCCACAATTAACATCACACCCCAATGGAGTGGTGTTGACATCAGCTGCAAAGTATCAACACATGAGATCTTTCAAAAGGAAGAGCATCCGACATAATATAGTTACACAGATAATAAACTGATAATAGATAATACTGACCAGATTATCGGTTGCGACGTGGGTCTGGAGGCTTGTGGGTTTTGCTGAGAGAGGTATGATGTCGTTGTAGGTGCCCCTCGGTGTTCATGGACCTACCGGACAGTGACCTGCTTGGGAACGGATTCCCAGGGTAGGCCCAGGGTCCCGGGGGAGAGGAGAGGAGGGTGGGGGCATGCGGAGGGTCTGTCTGTCTGTGTGCTGTGCGTTTAGTTCACAACACCATCCTCCCATCTGTCCGTCCAACCATCCTCTGTATTGGGCATTTTTCTGTCATTTAACTTTTTTAGGTTTTAGGAGTATTCACTTCCATCTACATATGTCCGGATTTATCACAAACAAAAAAGCTTGTACAAAGACATCTAAATTAGGGATGCACGGATCTAATACTGGTATTGGACATTAGTGCTGATACAAAAAACTTAGCTTCAGCCAATATCTTGGTAGGACTCTAATTTGATGTACTAAGATGTAGTCAGATCATAATGTTTAAACTTTTATTTACACAAAACTGTTCTGTCATTACTTGAGAGATGAATAACAGCTACATAACACATTTCAGACAGTTTTGTCTTATTTTAAGTTCAAAGGAAATAAATGCTGTTTTCAGTGTTTACACTGGTATCGATTGATATCGAGTAGCGAGATAATATTGAAATTGGTATCAGAACTGAGAAAGCTTAATCAGTGCATCCCTAATGTAAATATTTTATCATAATAATGTTGATGGAAAGGATTTCTACAGTGATAAAAGTGATTGTGATGTAACATGTATATAGCTGGTCATGTTATAGGTATAGGCAATAAGATAAAGTCTTTTCAGTTTTTTCAAATAAGTATGGCTTTCAATATTAATTTCACAAACATAAAGAAGTCTAATCTTAGTCATATTTTTAACTCATGTATTATTACTGAAAGATGAATAACTGGCTATTGTCTATTGTGCAACCCTAAACCCTTCTAGACATCCTTAAAGCTGCAAACCTGCAAACTTTCATATGATAAAGAAAATATATGGGATTAGAATTGCTTGTTTATTCACCCATTCACTCCCATTTCTTAAGCTGTGTGGACTGCTGTCATTAACAACACTTAAATTTGGTGGTTGCTGCTTGTTTGTGTAGAAATTAGAAACTGGGCATCGCATGTTTTTCACTCATTGGGGTGTGTATAACGCATTTATCCCGTTAAGATAAATGCCCAGCTGTATCTTTCACTGTTCCCAACTACATAGTGGTCCATGTTTGTCTTTTAGACCTTTAAGCATGTGTTGTATAGAGTATTTGTTGTGCGTTTTTGAATTGTATTGTATTGAATGTATTTAAATGTTTCCCTGTTCTTGTGTTTTGTTGCAGTACAAATTCAGGAAACACCAGTGATCTGTTCCCCATGTCTCCACGCACTCTGGACTCTCTCATGCACAACGAGGCCGAGGCCAGTCAAGGACATCTGGGTGAGTCACACTATCTGTTTATCTGTGGTTTTTACGGGGAATAAAATATATATTAACACATTATGAATACATTATTTTTACTTTGACTTCAGCTCACCATAGTGTTGGTATTGTATGCACTGTAGCTTTAAATAATATATAGACTTATTTATATAAAAATAATCCCCTTCCATTAGAGATGGGACAAGATCTCGTGTCACAAGATCGTGCACACATCAGAAAATCGATCTTGTGTGATTGATTTTATTTCGTTTACATCTAGACTGGACAAAAAGAGTTGAGGGCTGGTAAATGACTTCTCTTGTGGAGCTGTGGTTCCAAAAAGAAGGTCTGCTATTCCAACAAAAATATGAAATTAGAAAATGTTAGGCCAAAACTGCAAACGGGAGCACACGATTATATTATTAGAAATTATTTCAAAATCTCATCTTGTCTCATTTTTGTGGACCTAATCTCGTGTCTCGTCTCGTCTTTGGTCTTGTCGTAGCTGACTGTAGTTATAGAAAATTTTTTGACTAGCCGTTTCTTCAAGTGTGTGTTTTTGGAGTTTGAATAGGTCAATGGAGTTGATCATGACTTAAATAAAACAATTTCCTATGATATATAATCTCAAAAATATAAGGTTTTTGATGGCAAGTACTACACCGCTAAAATAAACATTTGGTTGTGGTTTGAACTTCTGAATTTCATATCACTGTGGAGGACGATATTGGGTCTGTGGGATATGTTCATCTCGATAAGGGGTCCCCCCGGCCTCAAAAGGTTTGAGAACCCCTCGTATACGTAGATAACAGTGTCCAGATAACAATTACGATTATTAAATGTACCACAAGTCCATCTGCTGGTGCACTGTGAAGTTGAGCAATTTGAACTTAATTAACATCTTAAAAGTTGCTGACTGTGAGCTGTATGTTACATCACAAGACGATAGGGAGGATTCCAGATGTTATCTTGGTTAGACTTTGGTTTGTTCTGCAGCGTGAAGCAAAAATGTTCTGGTTTCTTTAGACTCTGTGACCTCTGCTCGTCTATGTGAGGGCCCATGTGGGTTTAATGTGCATGTTTAACCCAGTGTGGGTTTAGTTAAAAAAGTCTGTGTGAATAATTAGCAGTAGTGAATGATTAATGCCTCTACTTCTGTTGTTAATGTGTTTGACGGTTCCATTTCAGATATTAAAAACAGTGATCCATTATTTTTTATTTCTGTTAATCAGGCACTGCAGATGGAAATGTACCAAAAATCTGGTGTGCAACATCTGTTTTTATGAGCTTAACAGGCTCATATCATACTATTTTGATCTATGTTATAATTTTTTCCTCATCACAAACAGACCTGGAGTTGTGTATTGTTTCATTCACACATGTTTAACACACAAACCCTGCATGTTTAGGTTCCTCTCTCAAACTGAAAACACTCCGTTCCACCTTGTGATGTCATGTCGTGATACAGGAAGCGCTCCATTGTGTTTTTAAACTCCACACACCTTCACTAGAACCATTTGGATGATTTCAGGTGTTACTGACAAGCTCTACTGAACAAAAGGTAAAAAAGTAGCTGTTAACTTGAAAACTACCACTTCATGACATCACAAGGTTGAACAGAGCATTTTGAGCTTTGGACATGTAGACAACTAATAATAAAGAGTTACTCAAACATGTGTGAATGAAACAAAACACAACTCCAGGTATTTTTTGACAAGGAAACAACAGTCAATTTTGCATAATATAGGACCCTTTAATGCAGACATGTCAAACTCAGGTCCAAATTTGGCCCGCGAGACCATATCAAATATGTATTAGAGTTGGCCCGTCGACTACAGATAGGCTATAAGCAGGAATCTCCAACCTGTAGATCGAGAGCTACCAGTAGCTCTCCACCCCCTTCCAAGTAGCTCACCAAATTATGTCTGAATGAAACGTACTGTCGTGAACAAGAATTGAAATAATCACTGTAAACGTATCATTTTGATGCCGAACTTTGTTCACTAATAAATGGATAATTGTTTATGTTTTATAAAGATTTAACCCGTTCCCCATTGAAGGCTTATCGTGGCTGTTATATACCCTCAATTTCTTGCAACCACTAAAATGTGTAGCTCTCTAGAACTTTCCTTTTGTAAAGGTAGCTTACTGAAGGAAAAAGGTTGGAGCCCCGTGGGATATAGAGATGTTATTTATTAAAAATTGTGTTTTTATTTGACATTATGCTTGTTCTGGATTCAATGTTTAAGCAAAACTATTATTAAACATTTATTTTAATAAGAAAGAAGAGAAAACATGCAGATGTTGTTGACATTTTTCAATAAATATTTAGTTTGGCCCACAACTTAGTCCAAGTTTTCAATTTTGGCCCTTGTGAATTTGAGTTTGACACCCCTGCTTTAATGTCTCTGTAGATTGTCCCGTCAAATAAAAACAAAAATAAAAACGTTATAATTTGCAAACTGATACCTTCTCAGATTTCTCCATCCTAAAAATGTACTTTTGTTTCTTTCCCCACAGAGTCGTTGACCTTAGACATGGATGTAGCGTCACCGATCTGAAAAGCCCCGGTTCCTGTTTAAAGTCTTGTTTACTTTTTGGCTGTAAGATTATTGTTATTACCCATTATTTCTCCACCTGTACATAGTTTTTGCCTTGACTGTACAAAATTGTCCGATTCCACTTTTATTTTAATGGATTTTTGAGTTTGTTTTTAAGGCATTGCCACTTTTTGACAGTTTAATTCAGTTCTGTGGTGTACAATTTTACTTCTAGTGCTGCAAAACACACAACCCTTAACACAGCTATGACTATGGATAGAAACGTATTTTTATTAAATCAGGTATTTTATGCAATATTGAAAAATTAATGGATTTCTTCATATAAGATTGTCATAGTAACCATTAAGTGTTGTATAAGCTACATATAATTACTTATGCCGTTTTGGAGATGATCGATTTTTGTATGTTTAGTCCAATTATGTCTAAAGCTAGAGGGTGTGAAAAGGCTGAGAAAAAGAGATTTGAAAATACAGTAATGTGCAAAAGTTTAATTTTTTGTTGTTGTTAGATATTTAAACATTTTGTGCTTTAAAGATGATTTGTGTAACTTTTCTGGAGAAGTGTGTGTCAAAATGTTATGCTTGGACATGTATTTTCTCTGCCTGGAATGTTCCACAGTATGACATTAAACCTGTCTATCTTCACGGAGACCTAATCGGACTTAGTTACGGGTCAGATCTGTGGAGAGGCGACATCGCTCACAGTCAGAATGTCTGTTTTTGTAGGTATTTTTGCACTACAGAACCACCTGTAATTGAGTAAATATAAGGGAGAGCGGTTTTAATGTCATACTGTGGAACATTCCAGACAGAGCAATGACGTATCCATAGAAACAAGCAGGTGACGGACCTCCAAAAAGTTACACAATGCTCCTTTAATATTTTCTGTAACATGGAAGATTTGGGCACTATATTATCACAGATTACATGTTTCAGATAGTAAATGTTAAGTTATTTACGCTTCATTTGAAAAGAGCTTTACCATTGCAAAACAGGACCTTGCCTTCGCAGAGGTCACTCCAAGTGCTTTTTGTTTTTTGTTTTGAAAATTTTGGTTTATTTTTTAGATTTTAACCTTAATTTGTTCTTAAAAACCTCTTACTTTTGCACAAGCCTGTACATTTTGACAGCGTTTTTTTTTTTTTGTAGTTCTTCTAAATGGTGCACTCTAGTCATCATTTTTCACGTGTGGAAGTGGAGCAGTGGATTGAATTTTCGCCCACAAACCAGACAGTTGCTAGTTCAAACCTGGCCTGCATTGTTGCTGTGTCCTCGGGCAAGACACTTCACAAACTCCAGCCAAAGTAAGCGACGCCGGTTGCCACTCCGGCGGGGAGCTCATCCGGCACGGAACACATCGCCGCATCTCGAATCGCGCTTGTCACGTCGACCCTGACTATATTGATGCTTTGCAGTGACGTCACGCCGGGAAGGGGGTGTCCTACGTGTGTGTATATGGCGGAATGTTCAGCAGTTTTAATAGTGACAAAATGCACACGTTAACAAACACACAAAAAAGTGTTTAAGATCGTCTGAAAACTCAAGAAGAAAAAAAGAAAATGGATTTAAACAGCAGATTTTCCAAGAGTCTGTGATCAATACAAGGGTTTAATTTTCAAAAAAAGCTTTATGCTCACATTGTGTTAAAAGTAAACTAAAATCTAACTTGAGTAACAAAGCTTCAGACAGAGTAGTGCCCAGAGAAAGCTGCAAAGTATCAATAAAATATAGTTCTTAAGCCGTAGTTTAAACCTGTACATTGCACTAGCTTCACTCTTGCCGTGTTTTTGCCTTCACCTTCTCTCGATATCTTCTTGTACTGTTATTTTTTTACAGTTTTAGTTGGTATAAAAATATATATATTGTGAAATGTGTAATATCTTGTAGCCTAAACCTGTGTGGCCCTGTATCTATGTTCCCTCAATGAAAACTTGTGAAATACTGTTGCTTTGTTTGTTTGACAGAGGGCAATAAAAATGGTATCACTATCCTGGAGTACTTTTATTGACTATATAACATGCAAATACTTAAATTATGAATACTTATAGGCAGTGGTGGAAAAAGTATACTTAAAGGTGCGCTGTGTAACTTCAAATTGGTGGTCCGTTTCCATGAAGATGTTATTTCTTTGCATGTGATGTTCCACAATACAGTATCAAACTTATATAAGATGCATTTATTCCATTGGTGTCCATGGATGTTTTAACTGCTAAAAAACCCCAAAAACAAACAACATTTAAATGACTGTGAGTGGAGTCACCTTTTCACAGATCTCACCTTTAAATTGGTCTTTTGAAAAGTTTAATGCCATATTTTACCCTCTACTAGAAAAGTTACACACAGTCACTAAGTAAAAGTGCAGATACCGAAGCAAAAAAATACTCAAAAGTGAAAGTACCGCATGAAAAAATCTACCCAAGTTAAAGTATTAAAGTAAGTTTAAAAATGAACTTCAAGAGTAATAAGTAAAAGTATTTCATGCATATTTTAAGTTCATATGAGGTTTCAACTGTAGTGATTTTGATAAAGATTCCTGCTGAATTTGGTTCATTAGAAACAACCTATTGTTTAGTCCGAGCTGCTTTTATTTGTATATTTTTGTTTTGCTCAAACTACAAATGTATTACAAATAAACCATCAGACTTTTTAGCAGCTCTGTTTTCTGTTTTTCAGTACTGTTTAAAAGTGTTGTGAAGCAGAAAGTACAGATACTTGCTCTCAAATGTAGTGAAGTAAAAGAAAAAAGTATTCACAGTATTCACTCAAGTAAAGTACAGATACATTCTCTAATATTTATACTTAAGTACATTATTTTATTACTTTTACTTTCCATTCCACCAGTTTATAGGCCTTATACTCCGGGTCCAGACAGCCTATCCATTGCACTTTTTGATAATTACAATTTCTGTTTTAATCTTTTCTCTTAAACAATTTGTTATTTTATCCAGATTTGGTTAAATTATTCTTTGAGATTTTGTCAATGAAATGTCAAATTGCAAAATGAGTCATTTAAATCAGTGGTTCCCTTCTTAGTCTCAAGTTCCCCCAATTGTTGTCTTATACTTTCAGTAACTCATATGAAAGGTCCATTGTGTAACTTTCCTGGTGGAAGGTCCGTCAAATGCTTTTCTCCATGGAGATGTTGTTGCTGGAATGTCCCACTGCATGGCATTAAATGTATCCATCTTCAGTGTTGGGAAGGTGACTTTTAAAATGTATTCCCCTACAGATTACAGATTACACACCCCAAAATGTAGTTTGTAACATAATCCATTAAATTACTTAAAGTGAGTAATGTAATCTGAATACTTTGGATTACTTGATTTGCTGTAGAGAAGCAAAGACGAGGATATTGTAACATAAGATGTTTTATCTGTAAAGTCCAGACTTTACTTAACCGTATTAAAAAATATTATTGATAGAAGAGGAGGAGACACGTCCGCACAGCATGATTTAGTCCTGTTAAATCCCGTTAAATCTTGGTTTTAGACCTGGTTTAGACTTGGTTTAGTTCTGGTTTAGACCTGGTTTTAGTCCTGCTTTAGTCCTGCTTTAGTCCTGGTATAGGCCTAGTTTAAACCTGGTTTTAGACCTGGTTTAGACCTGGTTTGGACCTGGGTTTAGACCTGGTTTTAGTCCTGGTTTAGACCTGGTTTAGACTTGGTTTTGACGTGGTTTAGTTCTGGTGTAGACCTGATTTTAGTCCTGCCTTAGTCTTGCTTTAGTCCTGCTTTAGTCCTGGTTTAGGCCTAGTTTAGACCTGGTTTTAGACCAGGTTTAGACCTGGTTTAGACCGGGTTTAGACCTGGTTTAGACCTGGTTTAGACCTGGTTTAGACCTGGTTTAGACCTGGTTTTAGACCTGGTTTAGACCTGGTTTAGACCGGGTTTTTGACCTGGTTTTGGACCTGGTTTAGACCTGGTTTAGTGTCCAGCAATGAGTGGAATTACCGAGAAAAAAAAAAAAAAAAAAAAGGGAACAGCCCAAAATGTGAAAACAGGAAAACACCACCATGTAATCCACTTATTTCAACAAAGTAACTGTAATCCAATTACCACTCATTGAAACAATAACTGTTTCTGAATACAGTTACTCATAATTTGTTCTCTGATTACGTAACTCCAGGACATGTAAACTGTTACTCCCCAACACTGTCCATCTTGCATTTACTCAATAACATGAGTTTTTATTGACCTAAAAACTTGCATTCTTACTGTGAGTGGGCTCGCCTCTCCACAGATTTGACACATAACTTGGACCTGGGGCGTCCCCTGTTGTCTCCATGGACTTAAATAAGTGTAATGAAATACTGTGGAGCATTCCAGACAATATCATCATGGAGACAAGCAGGTGACGCACTCTCCACCAGAAAATTTAGACAGTGTACTTTTAAAAATTATAATTATCAACCCTTTACTTTGGACAATGGTTCACACTTTGGTATTTGTTGACCCTTACGCGGCACAACAGTGAAGTGAAAACCATTTCAGGAGACTCCATCATGAATATCATTGAGAGAAGACCAAAGGTTTACAGCTCTGTCAATAAAGCAAAGGATGGAAACTTTGAAGATTTAAATCTAAAATATGTTTAAAAATATATATATATATTTAGTTGAGTTTCTTTCTTTGCTACATAATTTACTAAAGAAGAAGAAGGTGCAATCAAACTTTTCTCTGGTGGTGTAGAAATACTTTTGGTGATAGTTTAAAGAGTCATCGCTGATCCGAGAAATGTTTTTCTCAGTAATTACATATATTTTTTTTTTTTATGCATTGGCAAACTCTACATGACCAGTCACTGTAAGTCAGACATTTGAACACACCCTCTGATTTAGTGCCTTTTTTTCTAGTGTCTATTTTTACTATTATGTAGTAAAGAAAAAAAAGTAATAGTGAATTGAGTTTACTAAATATTTTCTGACAAAGCAAAAGAGTGGCTACTTTGAGGATTTGAATATAAAAATATATCCAAACATATTTAGCAGAGTTATTTCATGTTTTTTCTTTGGTAAATACTGATAAATAAATACCATATCTCTTACTTCACATATTTAACATCTTTTGGTATAAAAGTAGTAAAAAAAATAATAATCAAAAGATTGAATGAGGGTGTATCCAAACTTTTGAGTGGTAATTTTGGTCACAGTTTAGTCATTTTATCAGGAAAGTCAAGAAATTCTTTTAAAAGCATTGATAAAAGCTGTACAACAAAATATATTTCTTGATCAGCAAATTTTTCTGATAAAAACCGCTTAGAAAAACACTGTATGACAAAATTCCATGTATCTTACTTCATATATTCTTGTATCTTCTGTCTGTATAAATAAATATCATGTTTATAAGTACTTGTAGACTTGAGAGCCACTTAAGAGCTAGAAATGTTGTCAGTAAAATGGAAAAATGCATCGACACAAACTGTACAAATATATTTTTTGACCAAACGACCCTGAACTATACAGAGAATTTATTTAAGCTTGAATCTAGTCTGTCATAATAGTTTGATTTGCTGTTTAGTAATGTAGTTTTTATCAGGATTTTTTATAAACTATATGACTAAATATATTTCCTGAGCAAATTTTGAATTGAAAAATATATCTGAAAGTAGAGATATTTCACTTTTTTCTTTGATATGTAATTCCATGTATCTTATTTCATGTATTTAATGTCTTCTGTGTGCATATATATATAAAATGTAAACAGTAAAGTAAATCAAAATGTAGAAAGTAAAGTAAAAAAGACTGAATGAAGTGATGTGTCCAGATTTGTGAGTTTAAGAGCCGTCACTGGGAAATTTTATCAGGAAAATTGCGAAATGCATTGACACAAATTGTACAAATATATATATTTTTTGATTAAACTGACACACTGAACACTACAAAGAATTTATTTAAACTCAGATCTAGTTTGTCTTTTGTATGTGATCTTTTTGTCATAGTTTGATTTGCTGTTTAGTAATTTAGTTTTTATCAGGAAATTTTTAAAAACGCGTAGACAAAAACTGTACAACAAAGTATATTTCTTGACCAACTTTACATTAAATTGGCCGCATGTTGTTCAGACATTTCTGTTTAGTAATTGTGTTTTTAACAGGAAATTTTTAAAAAGCGCAACAACAAAATACACTGTATTTCTTGACAAAATTGGCACATTGAATTGTACAAAACTTCTATATTTTACTACTTTTTACGCACAGAAGAAATCAAACACATGAAGCAAGATATATGGAATTATACAGTTAAGTAAAAAAGTGAAATAAAATATATTTAGATGAAGAAAGTGTAGCTACTTTGAGGATCTGAATTTAAAAATACATTTAAAAAAGTATTTTTTGAATGATAGGGTATGTCCAAACAAGTACTTTTAGTGACCCAACAAAATAAAATGACTGGAAAAATTGACACACGACCTACCACTCAAGCTCCAGTTACGCGATAAATAAATTGCTTGTGATTGCATTTTAACTTTAGACATTTATAAAGGCTGTTCCCGGTGCTATCTACATCATCACAGTCACTATAGTACTTTAGTTACTTCTGCTACTATAAATACAGCCTTTTCCTCTTTGTACATGACTTTGCTGCGTTTCCGATCACAGAACAGAACTTTTTCATCAGTAGCTGCAACAGAATTTCCACAGTGTTTCTAAGAACAGAGTTGGCCGGTCAGATACTGAGAAAACAAGTCTGCAATATGGGAAGTCCATTTTGAGCCACAACTTCATCCAGAGAGCTTGATTTAGTTATGTATATCTATGTGTTTTGTCGGAATGTTGAGCGGTTACCATGGAGACTCGACGCGCACGTTAGGAAACACTGTTGAAAAAGTTTTTAGATGATCTCAAAACTCACAAAAAAAAAAATACAAAATGGATTTAAACAGCACATTTTTAGGAGCCTGTGATCAATCCGAGCTTGATATCAGATTGTATTGTACTGCATTGTTCAGTCCAGTGCAACAGTATAAGACTCTATTCCTCTCCTCTGCTT